GTGGTGCAGTATTATAGTAGTTTTAATAGAGTACGCATGTTCTTTCCGGGCCTAGATCCAAGTGCCCATGAAAAAGAGTGTAGGGTTCGACTACGTGTTCCCAGACAAGCACTAGCAGCGTTCAAGCGCGTTGTTACGCAAGTAGGTCCATGTGCATGTGTGTGAGTGTGTGTCTTTTGTGGAGCATGTGTAATATGTATAAGATGTATGTATGTAGTCAGGTTAGGTCGGTAGGTGGGTGGGTGGTGGATGGGTATGGTGGTATGAAAGTATGCAGGCATGTAGGCATGTCTGTCTGTCTGTCTGTATGTATGTATGTATGTATGTATGTTTGTATGTATGTTTGTATGTATGCACGTATGTATGTATGTATGTATGTATGTATGTGTGTATGCATGCATGCATGCATGCATGTATGTATGTATGTATGTATGTATGTGTGCAGCCTCATAACATGCATGTATATGCATGTATGTATATAAACATACACGTTCACATGCCTACATACTTACATACGTACGTACGTACGTACGTACGTAAGTCTATACATACATACATACATACATTCATACATGTGTACATGTTCACATGCACACAGACCTACATGTATGTATGCATATTCAATTTCTTCTTTACAGATGCAGTAACATACATATATATATACACACACACACACACACACGCACACTTGTTTTATCTGCAGAAAGGCTGGTAGACTGGTAGACGCATGGATATAGCTTATGAGCTGGCTGCGGTGCTCGTGGTTCTTGGGAGTCGTTTTCGCGAGGTTTGATTATGTGTGTACCGTACCGCGCAGAGCAGACGTGATTAAATAACCGCATAGATAACATGATGGCTCTTGAACATGCCTCTCTATTGCGCTCTGAACGGCTTGCCCCTCTCGCTCTAACAACAACATCTCATCTAAGGAAGATTGCGCGCCTTGTGCGGATTGTCCGTGTGGCCGCGGTCTTGCGCTTCATCCGAGCCTTGCGTGGCCTGTCTGACCTTTAAGCCGTAGCACTGGACTAATAAATGCTGTTGTCGCTACCGCTTGTAGCTATTGATACAAAGTTGGTCAGTGGTCGTCGCAGTAGTAGGGTGATGGCGGTCGCGGTCGTAGTTACAGTCGAACTCGTGGTCGTGGTCGCAGCAGTTGCAGTAGCATTAGCCAGCAGCAATAGTAGCAGCAACAGCAGGAGTAGCAGTCGTGATGATTGCCCCCTTTTTTGGCGCCTAGTAGTCAAGGTAGCAGTGAAGGTCGCATCATTCAGGACTAGAGCCTGTGAGATGGCGAGTGTGAGGGGCTCGCGGCGACATGAGTGTTGCTCTCTGCATTGGTGGTGTTGTTCATAGAGTCATAGAGATGCTGCTTGTCATGATGACGATGATGATGATGACGATGACGATGATGACTCGCTACTGATGGTTGTGATGATGCCAGCGATGATGGTGCTGTTGTTATTGGTGATGACGACTGTCATGATCATGGCGCTGATGATGATGTCGACAGCAAAGACAAGCTCGATACTGGCGCATGTGCTCGCCACAAGCTGCCCCAGCGATGGGCATCGCCAAGCTCTCAAAACCTCTCCAGGAATCCTGATCTTCTCCATCATGCAGACTCTGAAATCGCTTCTTTGGTCGTTGGTTCTTCTGCCACCTGGTTTTGAGCCAAGTTCCGCCCAACTTGATCCTGAAGGACCTTCCCCAGACCTAGATTGTTCAGTGGTGCGACCCCTACATGGGGACATTAACATTTCTGCGTACTGTTGGAATCTCCTACTCCTCTCTCAGGTTTGTCATCATCTATGCTTTTGCGGTGTCTGGGCCTGCGACGGGCATGTTGTTAAGATGCTTATTCAACTCTGTTCGAAGGTAGCCTCAGTGCTGTTGCCAAGACCCAGGTATTATTTACAGATGCTGCGGTCACCTATCAGTACATGAATGGGGAGAGGCTTGTACAAAAGTTCCGCATGTTTAGACTTGCTTGTGCTCGGACTTTGTATGCTTCATCTGCTCAGTCTTGCGGACCCCAAGCTTTGGGTCATCAAAGGAATGCAGAGCTTTCCCGGATGTTTGGCTCCTTGATTGGCTCGATGAGCACCCTGCTGAGGCCCGATGCCTTGCAATCCGCTTGTGCTGTGATCAGGGATCTGCATACTATACTACACTCTACTCTACTCTACTCTACTCTACTCTACTCTACTCTCCTATATACTATATACTATATACTGTA